TGCTATATTTAGGGGCAATAAAGCTTGAAGAAATTCTTGCCTAGTTCAATAATAAATATACTGGGTACTTTATTTATTAAATTTTAAAGCAGTTTTTGTGATCGATCATGTTCTGATGAATGTTCTTTCGTGATAAAGTTCTGCAACCATAACGCTGTTTTATGTTCATTTGCAATATGGTAATCTCAAGATATTAAAACTGAATCCTTGCTCATTTAATGGATTTGTATATAGGGATCCATACATGCACACACACAAACCATCTTTCATGTGCTCTATTTTTAGCCTACCAGAGAAAAAACAATGTAATTGCTTCATTAAAAAACCAGCAGAGGAGATGCACACGTGCCTATATGCACTTGTTGAGGACAAACACAGATTATTCACTATTTCTGTTATCAAAGGAGCTTCACATTGCAAATCCTCCATTTACAAATCACAGGACCTCAGCTTTCCTTAATCTTGTCATGTTGTCACATTTGAGCAGCCATGCGAACTGACCCAGAACCGCGAGCACCGCGCAGGCAAGCTGTCACACAGATAATGACAGCCACGCCAGCCAGGGCTGCCCTGCTCCCACTGGGTGACAAAAAGGAATTAATCAAACCTCACGAAAGGACAACACAGGATAATCAAAGTGTTTACTGATTTTTATCAACTGGTCCAAGAGCTGAACATCTTCAGCACGCAACTACCCAGAGCAGTAAAAGCTGTAACAAATGGAATTCCATATAAGCAACTATTTATAGCAGCAGTAAATGCAAGTTTAAACTGCCAACATAAAGGACACTTGAATTTATAGAAGAAGTTTAATTTTGTGCATTAGTGCAACATTTCCTAGTCTTTCCAGAGCAAAAGCTTCAGTATCTGCTATTTTTCACAGGGAACGGCAGTACAGCCTTAAATAAATACTAGCACAAAGACCATACAGATGCTCCTTCATCTTCATTTTTTATTTGATTAGCAGAAGAGCACAGCATCATAATAAAAGCATCTCATAGAAAATGGTTATTTTCCAAACTGCTTCATGAAATGAAGTCAAACCCATTGGCAGCAGTAGTAAAAGGGAAGAACCTCTCTTAACTGAGCATAAGTCTTCACAGAGCAATTCTAACAGGCTGAAGGAAACACCTCTGAAGCTGCATTCTTCCAAAGAGTTTGGATTGGACTCTCAAATTCCTTTGTAAGAGTCTGATCTGAGTAGTATCTCCTACCAGACACATGAGCAGGTCAATGACATGTATACAAGATTGTCTGGCAAAATTTTGACTGGCTGCACTTATTTACAGACCTACCCTGGCACAGGTAAGTTTGCCACAACAGGCACTGCAGCCATTCTAGAGCCCTCCATAAAATATTAATTTGTTTTACATAAGTATCTCCATATTTGCTATTGTTCAATGAATTAAATTTGTGGCAATGTTAATGCTGACAGGTTAATGATAGTATACAGGGAAATTGCCATGACTGCAGCAATTGTATTTGTTAGAAATGACCAATATTCTCTTCAAATATTTCAATAGCACAACCCCCACGGTTTGCTTATTGAAGCTGCTTGCTTTTATTCAACATCTTTCCTGGAGTTATGAAGTTAAACCTTTCAAAATGTTTAATCTATTTTGGAGACTGTATCTTTCTCCAAATGGAGGTCAATAACTTAATTTAAGACTGTCAACTTCTAAAGCTTTATAAAGCATTTATTTCACTCGCATGCAGACATACACATGCACACACACAGAATCCTTCCTCCTGGGACTGATTCTGTCCAAAAATGTAAATAAATACAGTCACAATTGGACAGATGTTATATCCACTTCCACCATACTTCATTCCAAATGTAGCTTTATGTATACCCTTGCCTTTCTCTCTGTTATTTCAAAATCATAAACTGCAAATACACTTGGGAGAAAAATAATAGCAAGCATGCATCAGCAGTGCATTTCTTTTGCTTCTACATTAAGGCTGAATAACAGTTAAAAACTGGAAGAAGAGAAAGAGAGATAATGTAAAATAATAATCCTGTCCCATTTTTACACAAAAAATATAAAATGTCATTTGCAGGTACATCTGAGAATGCATTTGCAAAAGGCACTAAAAATGTTTTGTCTTTATGAACTATGAATTTTGATGTTACAAAACATAAAAGAGAAAAAAGTAGATTGAGCACTGATTTGAAAAATTCACTAAGAATGCTAAGGCTGCAAAATGAACAATGTTCTGCAGTCAACACGTAAATAAACCGTAGGTTTATTCTGGGTCTCATTCTGATTTATCCAGAGACTGACAGGACAGATGCCCATTGCCTCCATCAGACAAGAACCTCAGGATTAATTGTCCCCTACTGTCAGGAGTTTGCTAGAGGAAGGTCCTCAGAGATCCTTGTTAAAATTCCATCATCAAACCAACAGGCGCTTTCTGATAGTTTCCCTGTCTCTGTTCTAGTTCAGATCTGTTTGCAAACCCTTTAATCACGTCTGCCAGAGAAGATCTATCCCAGAAGTGCACAACTTCTCTTCTGAACAGTAATTATTTTTAGCCTCAGAATGCACTGGATGCAATCAAGAGTGAAATGCTTTTAAATTTCCCATGGAAGGATCCCTCTGTCAGATATCTGAGGAGGTTTCCCTTCTGTAATGTGCATTCAAGAACAGTCAGAGATACACAGATAGAAATGTGCTTATGGACACAAATGGCTCATTAACACATTCATCTACTCAAGACTGCTTTATTCCCAAATAAAAAAAGATAACATGTGGCTGAGGGCTAAGTATCCTCTGGCAGGAATGATGAAGGATTGAGAAGAAAAGAGTGAATATTACCAGCAGAACCACCCAAGACCTCCCATTTCCAATTGATGATCAAGTTCCAAGCATAGCTTTACCTGTTATATGTTACTATTTGTAATCCACAAACACACACATCCTTTACAGGGAGGCAGTACAAACATACATATACTCACATTTCAAACATTGAGCATGCTTATAAATATCTTCACTTGATATCAACTTTACAAACACAGTAGAACTACTGTCATTGAGCTTAGGAGCACTAAAAAAGCACTATAAAATCATACTGCAGGTGTTTTGCATGCATCTGAAAATCCACAGGAAGGTTAGTTTTGGTTCTCAAAGTATCTCTCTGTTTGTTCCTTGTATTAAAACATAAAACATCAGATAATAAAATAGTTGGAAATCAACTTACAAATCCAAAAGACCAACTTCAACTTTAGCAATTTGACTCAGGAATACTGGCCAGAGAATTACTTTTTTATGAAGCCAAAAGTAATTTAAATTCTATTACTGAAACTTAGGTATATAAGAAACAGCAGGCTCAGGTTTTCATCAGCTTTTTCCTTCATATTTAGTGCACAAAAAGGCACCTACAGTCACCTGTGATGGATGTGTTTATCATATACTCAAAACCATGCCTAGCAAAAATACCTTATTGTTGAATCAATTCAACATAGGTAATCAACTGGTAAACTGAAAAGTTTTAATAAATACATACAGAGATCCATTTCCTTTTGTGTAAAGTTCACTGAATGCACTGATAAATGAAATTTATATTTTAAATGAATAATATATTTTGATTGGAATTCTAAAGAAGTGATATATGGAATATCTGTAATAAAGTATTGGGCACTTAAATTGTGCCTGAATTGAGAGAGAAAAATTTCTTTACTTGAACAAGAATTATGGCTTAGAATGATTCACTTTGCAAAACTGGACACACAGACCCCACATCTAACTCAAGAATTCCAAGTTTAAAAATTGCTAAAATAAATATATTTATTCTTAGTGAAGCAGCCTCCCTACTACAGCTCACTCCAATGAAGAGCTGAGCAGGAAGCTCAAATGAAATAACCAAAGCCAAAATCCAAGTTGAGCGATATGAAGAATGTGACAAATGTTGGCTTTTCAGAATGTATTTACTTCATAATTTATAGGACTCAGAAAAATCTATGTTAAATCATGTTTTACTGCAGAACTTTTCAGATTACCACCAACGATGCTACAAGCTGCATAGAGACAATTTTAGCATATTTTGGTTTAGCTATGATCATCTCTTCCTTAAATAAATGTTCTCTATTTTTTTCTATGTAGGTCATCATGGCATAAACAGAAATCTCATCACCTTTCATTTATTTCTGCTATTATAACACTCTATCAGCAAACACTTCTTAATACCAACATTTGATTTCACACTATATACCCTCTCATCTTTCAATATGAGAAGCTTCTATGAACTTTGATTTTGCACAACATTATTGGCAGAATAAGTCCCAGCACTGTTACTATTTATTTTTGCCTTTTGATCTCTTATGTAGTAACATAACACCATCCTTACCTGCATTAAGACTAAGCTTGTTCAAACTCTATTGCTTAAAAGACAGAAAACCTCTAGACATATTCAATATCTTTATAAAATATAAATAAACCTTTTAAAAACATTGTTCATTCTTCTGTACCCATGGCTTACAACATGACAGTATATGGAGACTTTTTACTTACTAGAGAGCGATCCTCTGAAGGCACAGACCCTCTCTCCCACTATCTCATCCATAGGATAGACTTTGTGAGTGCTTTAGGGTCTGCAATATCCTCGTGGGCACCATTTGCCCCCAACGAGTTGAAAAGAAAATTGTTACATCTATAGCACTTACAATGTCCTACACACATCTAAGCCTTGGCTCTTCTCATCAGTTCTGCTCGGTTTGACTTTTGAAAGTCACAGTCCTGAAGCTTTCATCAGAAGGTTTAACATATCCTTACACACTAGGCCATACCATACTTAAACTGGAAACAAAACACCAAAGTCAGCAAAATAACCTGATGGCTTTTATATGGCAGAACCTAGAGGCTGAAGCTATAAATTCATTAAACTATTCCAAAGACTTATACGACGGACTTTCCTATGCTTTGTCTTACGATTAAATGCAGCATGTGAAAAAGGATATTGAGACCTGGATGGATGCATCAAGAAGTATCAATGATTGTTACCTGCAGAGGTGTTACAAGAAATTTCATCTGCTGCAACGAAGACGAATTGATTTCTGCAAGAGAAGATAAAATTCACAATACTGCTTGCTGACTGGGAAATGTGCTAGCTGCCAATTGACTTGATGTTTACAGATGGGGTAGGGGAAGGGTGCTTAATTTTAATGAATGTAGCAAGAAAAAGTGTTGAGTACTATAGAGTTTATAAGGATCATGAGGTAGACATGCTGGGATCTTTTAAATGAAATAATGGTGACATTTGGATATGGACTATGTACAAACTCTTGCATTGGAAGCTTCATGTTTAGTGTTACAGATATGTCAATATATTTATGAAGTCTAATAAAAATAAAACAATATATTGATATAGCTATTAAAGGGCACTACTGCAAAATATGTAAAAAGCGCTTTTGAAAAAAAATTAAATTGCCATTTACTTTGTGCATCTGAAAGGAGGATATTAAAATTAAAATATTTTACTTTTTCTATGTCTAATATGACTGCAATCAGAAAATTAATTTTCTGCTATTTATTAAAAAAATGACACAGTATATTCTCATATACTGTCATCCAAATACATAGAAAAGTCTTTTGCAGAATCTTAGGAGAATAAGCTAGAGGTATGAGTAATCTAATATAAACCTTCTCTTGCAAAATTCTTTTTTAAACCAGGTGACACAAAAAGAGAAACCCTAAATGCACTAATATTTCAAAATGCAGAAAACTTCATTACGGCACAAATCCTGATTTGTCCTTTGTGAAATCTAGGCAATCAGGACTCGGGTTAGTGGAAACCACGTTTAAGGATTAGCATCAAATGATTCCTTTATGTGCATATCCACAGCTTCCCCGGGGTGCTCTGGCGTTGTGCAGGGTTAACGAGCCCGGGTGCAGAGCTAAGGCTTGGCTGTGGTTTCCTCCCAGCTGCACACAGCCCCTGCCCTGCCAGGCTCAGCAAAGCCTGACTCTGAGCTTTGCACAGCCTTCGTGCTCCTCACAGCCAGCAGCCAAGGGATGCAGCCCAGGACTGCCTGGAAAAACAGCTCTGCCAGCACTGAGGATCCTCCTGAAAACCATGCAGGAGCAAACGTCCCTCAGGGGCGATAAAACCTCCAGTTAAGCCTTAAGGGAACAAAATCTCTTTCTATTACTTCACCTCCAGTGTATCAAGAGATTTGAAATTCTCATTTAGAAATCCGTGAACCTTGTTACTTAGAGGTTCACAATCTGGGGGCGGGGGAATAAATCCAAAACAAAACAAGGAATGTGCAGTCTGGACTGCAGGGACAGGATTGCATAGGTTCAAAAGTAGATCATTGCCTCTGCCCCAGCAGAAATGCTGACACTGTCAGCATGAACCTAGTGATCAAATTGAACATTCTTGCATTTTCAACTTTTCATTAAGTTCAATTGGTAGTTTTGCTCTTTATTTTGTCATCTGCAACAGTTTCATGAGCTAATGAGATTTACCTAACAGGCAATGCTAAAGATATGAACTTAAAAAAACTAAAGGAGGATAAATTTTACATTAAAATACACAGCTACCCTGTATTTCATAGGTAGCATAATTTGTCACTGTATTTACTGCTACCACCTCTGTGACAATAATAGGCAGGAAAAGTTAGATGCTTGCTTAAAAGTGACTGAGCCAGTAGCAATGCAGAATTACCAGCTACTGCTTTACAGAAAATCACCCTGACTCATTTCTATGAAGTTGTTAAATTGTCCTCTCATCTAAATGAAAAGATCACTTTTCCTTAAAAGCTGCCTCTAAGGCGGTTACTGAGAAGCTCCTTTTGTTCATCTCTGCTCAGAACAGTGGAACATTCAGCCTCAGATTCTCTATCTTCAGATGTTAAAATACAGAATTACCTGCAAGGGCAATATGCTGTGTTAGTACCTCCAGAGAGACCCCAGTACACTAACTTCAATTTGTTCTTTGGAATGACAAGTATTATTGAAACTGTTCTGAAATCTTACTCTTTTTTTAACCAAGTCTTTACTAATTACTGGGAAAAAACTAATTTAAAAAGAACATGAACCCAAACTGATACCTATTTAAAAAAAAAAACAAACAACTACTATAAACATCTCTTGTTATACTGCTTCATAGGAAGACACTATTTTGCTTTTGTAAAAGTAATTTCACAACTCCACACATAACTTAAAAGTAGGAAGCTACATATTGGTCAGCATAGCAACTGTGAGAATGAAAAGGCTACAGGCTGGAGTCCAATAAGCCAGTTCAATATTTTATAACTAATTAGGAGTTATTTGCAGCAATTACTGGAAATTCTTAAGCACTTTGATGGCTTTAATGCTCTTATAGTGGCAGGATTTATTTAGCTAAATTCCATACTGTTGCTTACATAGACCTAGAGGGGAAACTGCTCATCAGAGGCATCGCAGCTCTCACAGCTGATGGCTAAAGAAGGTTTTCATGTGGACAGCCCCAGAGCCTGCAAAAGGAGTCCCTTGGAGTGAAGCTGGCTCTGGGGTGCACCAATCCCTCCTGCCCTGAAGCAGGTGGAGAGCAGAGGTGGCAGGGACAGCTCACCTTGCCCAGTCCTCTGCAAGTGTGGAGTGTTCCCTTTAAAGGGAAATTCTCTGCACTAACTCTACTGAGCATACAAGGCTTGAAAATCTCACAAGGAAGGTGTGATGAAAATTCATGATGCGTTTTAGGTTGGTTTAGTGTTCCTCATCACTGCTACACTTTTAATGATTCAAAAAGGTACAGGAATTGTAAGCGGACCCAACTTTATTATACAATAAGCCCTGCTCAATTAAGATACAGAATCACTTCCATAATTTAATTTGTGTATTAACAGTGAAAGTATAGAACCAAATTTTCACTGTTCACTGGTTAATAATTCAGATGTAAAAGAACAGAGATTTAAACAAAATAAACTTTTTTTTTAATAAAATTTTAAAAGCTGTTACCGGCTGCGAGATGGAAAAAAAAAGAACAAACCAAAACAAAAACCTGAAAAGATAACGTGACAAATACATTGATCTGAATGTACAGCTGGATATATTCAACCTGCCAGATCCTCACACCCTGGGCTAAGTGCAGTCCTTTTAAGTGCAGGAGTGGCACCCTTTGGCAGTCTGAGCTCTCTGATGTCTCCCAGACAGTGTGGGTCAGGAAAATGTGCTGCTGGGTCTCCAAATGGCTGGATTCCATCTGAGCAGATACTTCCCAAGGGCAAACGCTCTGCATACTACTGCTTCTCTCAAGCCTACAAATCTATTTTTATCTCTTCTAGCAAATTGAAAACTAACTCGTTTTTTACCAGTATGGTAATAAAGATGGCTTGAAATTAAAAAAAAAATAAATGTTTAAACATTTGATATATATCCTGAATTCAAACAAGAACAGAAGGGGAGGACAACAGAAGTACTATTAAATGATTTAGATGTGCTTTCTTCCTTTGGGGTAATTATTGAGCCTGCATCACACTATCTTCAAAGGTTTGAATGTGTTGTAATTTCCTCTGCTCCATTCCCTTTAGTCCCTTTGGCAGTAACAAATGTGTGCCTCTAAGGCCCCACATCTGACAGAAACCTCTCTCTTTTGGCACCTGCTCTTTCTATCCAGCAGACCTTTTGCATATCCAAGACATTACATGCTTGCTTTCTCTCTTCTTGAAACCATTTGGTGAAAACATGCCATACTATAGAATAGAGATTTCATATATGCTGAGGGGTTTATGTTCTTTAATCACTGGAGCCTGAGCCTTGTCCTTGCTATGGATGTCTAATATACAAAGTGCTTCTGTGAAGAAATACCTGACCTGTAAGTGATCTGCCCACTTTACTACTGGAAAATTCAGAACCCAGAAGATAAGAAGAGATTCAGAAAATGGGTTTCAGATGCTCTTTTTTTTAATGACTTGGGGGATGTAACTACGATGAAACAATTCCAACCTAAGTTCAGAATAAACTGCTACCCTGAGTGCTCCCTCTAAAAGTTTCCATGAAGCCATCCCACCCTGGGAAAGGACGAGCTCCTCTGTGTCTGCACTAGTCCCCACTCCCCAAAAAGCACCAGCATCTCACCACCTTTCTCTCCTGCTGCTCCTCAGGTGTACAGAGCTCCCAGGCGTCTGGGGATTTATAAACTTAGGTCATTATGGGTGGAAAAGCCATCAGGGCACGTGGGGCCAGTGAGAGTTCTGTGCGTCCTCTCCTCTCCCTAAAATGCTGTGTGGCACCCAGACTTCTCACCAGTTTCATACAGCACATGACTGACAACAAAATTTTGGCACACATCTAATCTCACCCACGACTCCCAGAAGTTTCCAATCCCTCCTCCCCAGCAGAAAAGCTTCCTTAAAACAGAAGCCATACTAGAGGAAAAAGGGGATTTTAAGAAATTAGTTGCACTGGCTCTAGGAAATTTGAAATGTAAAATAAATAAAAGTCCACTAACGTACAGTGATTATGCTTTGTCGATCTGAATTCCTGGGCTTTGCTGACAAACTTCACAAAACTAGGCAGAAATAATTTTGATTAACACAGGGGTTCAGACCCCTACCCAAAAATACAGCAACTGCTGAAAATGGTGCAGAGCCCCAGAAGATCAAAAATTAGGATGAAGGAAAACACAATATTGAACAGAAGTTACAGTGGGAAGATTTAAACTACATTTAATCAGTTGACTTTTTCTGGTAGGACTGCCGTGGGACTGACAAACAAAGCCAGTATTTAGAACTCAGGGATCAGAATCTCAGCTGGTAAATTTGATGCAGCTTAACCAAAAGCACTGCATTTCCTTCCTGGAGCTGCTCCAAACTCTATTCCCCAAGGATCCGGTGCTAACTATCGCATGCAGCAAGGATTTTTCCCAGCAGAGTTATATGTGGTACCTCTGTATATTTCTCCATTATATTATTAAAGCTATTACATACTTCCTTCATGCTCTAAATGTTAAGACTTTGCTGCTCTTTTGAGGACTCTGATGTTGAGGGCTTTTTCACTATGAATTTTAATATAGCTGACTGCTGGCTCCTTGAATGGTTTCTGCAATACTCAAGGATGGACAAAGTTTCCC